CTGATCGGCTTCTTCCTGATCGCTCCCCGGCGTCGGTGTATCTGGAAACACTACCGGTCGGAATATTGGGTAGCGTATGTCAGGGGGCTCCGGCGAAGCTGATGGGGATGGCTGGAATGGTGGAGGGGATGGCTGGAAAGGGGGAGTTGGTGCTTGGTGAGTGTTGGGTGATGGACTGCGGGTTGCGGGTTCCACAGATGGCATCCGAGGAGGAGAGCTCTCTGTACGTCGCCAATCATTGTCGTAGTTGTTTGCTGGACGCGCGGGAGAGCTCATGATTGCGGGGGGCGGGTTATCGGCTGCAGGAGCTCGGGGCTGCGGATGGGCCTTCATGTGAAGCCGGTTGGTTTGTTTTGTTTGTATTACATAGCCGTCCGGATGTTGTGAGCATTTTGAGCAATAACAGGGAACTATTTGCGTTCGCTATAGCTCAATCAAAATGGTTGCAAAAAAAGGTAGAAAATAAGACACTGGTACTGACTCCCGGTCCAGCCATCTTTCATTACTAGCACTGTTCCCTGCCCGCTAAGATGGCATAAGATAACACTACCCGAACACGGGCACTAGTAGACGACTGCAATTGCAGCCGTTGGGAGGGACACAGGGACGAGCAGGAGGTGGAAGCACAGCAGCTGCAGCTGAGTACATGTGCGTCGACGCGGCGCGACTTGGACGCGTCAGCTTCACGTGCAGAAATCGTTAAGTCACAAGACGTATTCTAACATCCCGTAAAATACGCAAGGTGAGTATTCTCAAATTGGCGTATTGTACGGGTATTCTGACAGTATTGTACAATACACTAGGAATACGCGCGGTGCACAATTTGGCGTTTTGTGCGGTGTAGTACTCCTTTGGAAGGAACTCGGCATGCCTCTGGACGTTGGACGCTGGGAGATTTCCTGCTCCTGTATCTATCCCTCTCTGATCTCGCCATCGGTATGTTTCTGTTCATGACACAGTATTGCCTCAGGCGCGGTCTCATCCCCGAGTGTACGTCTACTATTCGAAATTTTGCTCGAATTTACACTATGGCGTGCACTCTGCTCTGCCCACCTCGCACACCATGGATGCTCGGTCTCGGAGTCGTATCGTCAATTGCTGTCTATCTTTATTTGATCTCGTCTGCATATACACTCTCGGTCTGACGTGATGCATGCTAGAGATTGCCTCTGTTATCAACGAGCGTCCTTTGTGCTCAGGAGTCATGGATTCTCTGTGCGCCTGTAGCCGTACGGATTCCCGTCTCTGAGTATTCCCACTCTGTCGGAGGCCCGTCGAAGGAGGGTTCGAGCACTACTCGGCGCCCTCGTCTTTCTGCTGGTCTTTCTGGTGTCTCGTTCGTCCCTCAGGCTCGTGGATATGGTCACCCCCGCGTGCGTTGTCTCACCAAACTATCTGCCTTCGATGCTTGTCTGAACTCGGGGCCATGGCTTTGGCAGAGGGATGGCTATGGAAGGTTCAGGCAGTCTTGCAAGGGAGCGGTTGAGTCTCTCCAAGATGGGACACTTGGTAGGACAGCGGACGTGGATAGCAGTCGGGCGATATGTCTGTCCTTCCCGTTCAGTGTACTCTAGGCACGGTCCATTGAAGGAGCAACCCCACTACTGCTGAGCGCTCTTGTCCTGCCCGCCATCTCTTCCCGATTGTCTCTAACTGATCCGGCCCCTTCACGTCCGAATCGCGATGGACTCGGGAGCGCGTGTTTTCTTCAGGAAGTTATCCGGACGCTTAACAGCCGGGAGGGCTTCTGGCAAGAGGTTCGTTGTCTTCCGCCACATCTGCGTGGTTTGTCGATGGCCTTTGTAACCCCTTCTGCTTTTGCTCGTGGATCGGCGATCCTCCCGGCTGAGATGTGTCAGTTGCCGAATGGAACCTGGACAAAGAGGGGAGGTCGGGCCCTTGGGGCGTGTTCCAGCTCACGCCTGTATGGTATCACCCCCTGTCCTCTTCGTCGCTCTGCACCTCTCTGCTGCCGACTGCTTTCCCGTACTGTACTCGGCGCCCCGTTCTTCTCTCCACTTCTTCCACTGTAGACTCAAAGGGTGGTGGTCAGGTGTACGCGGGAGACTGGGCGCCGCGCGCGGGGAATCGCGGACTGAGGGTTTCTTTGGCGCGAACTTCCCTGTTACATGTTGTTACTTGTCACAGTGGTTGTAAATGTATGCTAGGGAACCGTCATGTCTTTGTAATCAATCTCAAATCCCACCGCATCGCCCAGTATGCGGGCACCATACAATCGTCCGCGACAGGCAGGAGCAAATCCTATGTGATCCGGCGTTATATTGATACCCTCACGGACGTACAAGTCCTCAGTGCTGGCCATCATCCGGCGCCCCTGGCATCTCATACACCACACAGTTAGTGATGTGCAGGGCCTGGCTTGGCTCGAAGCCCTGGGCTTTGGCCTGGCTTGAGCTGGCTCGGGCCTGTCACCAAGTCAAGCCAGGCCCTAGCATCGGGCTTTGGCTTGGCTCGGGCCTGGCTCGGGCTCAGGCCAGGGCTTCCATGCTTGGAAAAGGAACGGGTACTGGAGACGTACCAAGTATGGGGTTACACACCCTACTTCATCTAATGGCCACCATGTACAAGGTTAGTGATCCTATATACATCTGAAGAGCACAACATGCTCACCGGACTGTGTATAGGTTACCGGTGTGCCTCAAACCCCCAATTCTTAAATATGTGTGGGTACTGTAAGCCATTAGAACAGCCCTGTATAGGGCTAGAATGCATGAGGTTAAATCCACAACAGGTATGGTGTGACTTACCTGTGATTTGAAGTCTGGTTCAGCTCATTTACCCAGCGCCACAGTCCCGGGCCTGCAGGGCCTGGCTCGGGCTTCGGACAACCCAAGCCAGGCCCTGTCCTCGGGCTTGAGTAGGGCTTTGGCCTGGCTCGGGCCTGCTGAAATAGGGCCTGGCCTGGCCTGGCTCGGGCTTGAAGCCAGGCCGGGCACAACACTACACACAGTGTCTGCCCGAATGGCTCGAAGAGCTAGAGGCATGGTCGATTGACGCTTTTCGGTGGTCAAAGATATTACTGGCTACCGTGTGGCACTCGAAGATGTTTGTCAACTCGGGTGCTGGACGAGCAGGGCCGGGACTCATGTTGACGGCGCGTACTGGCGCGCAGCGGTTCATGCAGTTATAGGCAAATACATTCATGAGCAGTCAACACATTCATCAAGGAAGAATACAGTCACAGCAAACAGCAATGAGGACAGCATACGACAGCACACACAAAAACATCAAGTGGTTCGCATAAAGACGGAACGAAATTGGTCTAGGACCTCTCTCCGACTGGACCCGACTGTTGGACCTTGGACCAAGCAAGGTGCTCGTCGCTATCCCCGCACATCTTGTAGAAACGGTCCTTCACGCCGTCGAGCCTCTCGCCGAGCTTGCGTGCATGCTCGGTGGCCAGCATAGCGAGAAACGTAGAGAAGTGGAGTGCCCCGAGCGGGCTTGACAGATCGAAGAGCTGGGCATTCGCTTCGAGGACCCGCGTAATCTCCTGAACAAAAGTTAGTCGCAGGGCGATGTGCGTAGTTGAGCTCTTACCTGTGCTTTGCGTGCGGATTCCCCTGGCTTCCCGGCTCTGTCCGCAGTGGAACTTGGAGGTGCCGATGGCGCGGCCGTGTATGTGCATGTCACCGCACCAAGCGCACCATCGGTAACCAGCCCGAAGGTGGGGAAGTCATATATTCCCAGAGACGCCAGGAACCTCGAGGTGGAGACGGTGTACATGCGCGCTTGGTTCACACCTGCACCTGATGCACCCTTGTCTTCCGCTTTCTTGTACTCCACCAGAAGGAGCGGTGCATAAAGGCTCCGGGAATCAGGCTTACTCTTTCCCTTTCCTGAGTCCGCTTTCTTCCCTTCCGATGCTCTATCTCCCGGTGATAGATCCAGGTGATCAATGCCCTCGCTCAGCTCATCGACAGAACTACCAATGAATGGTGGATCCGGGAAGACACCTTCATTCCGCCGGCTGCCGAAGATACTTGTCTCATCCACCGGTCGCTTGATGGGATGAGGAGTTGGAATCCCTCCATCCTCTTGTTCCCCGCTTGATTTAGAATCTTCCTGTATGATCAAACGATGGAGTTGGCGGAGTTTGGCTGCATGAACAGGATAGAAGTATGAGACCCGAAGGGCACAGACAACATCGCATTTCCCCTTGTTAGGCTCCTGGGCAAAGCGCTGTAGAGCATCCTTCCGGAAGCCAATGAGAAGCCCAGGTAAGGATGTCCTTGCTTCTTGGGCCCGAGAGGCGTAACTGCCAAGATGATTGGCATATTTTGTATCATCTCGAGACTTCCTAGCTTCTGCAGTGAGGGATATGTCTTCGGCATGTAGGAGGTCCTCAAGATTGTCCCGATCCTCTTGACAAAAGTCATCTTCAATGCTGAGATTCTTTGATAGCCGTATGAGACGTTCTGGCCTGCATGGTCAAGTAGTTGAATGATTGGCGCACGAACAAGGGAGCAATTGAAACATACAGCGGAAGGATGTCTTTCATAGTCATCAGTTCCCGCAGGAGAGTGTCCCAGTCGACACGTGTTTCAACCTCATATACGCTGGGGTGCCCGGACGCGTTCAGTGCCCTGAGACGCACCGTTTGGCATACACGGAGAATGTGGGACAGTTTTGAGGATACCGTGTCAGAGATGTGCTTCAGAGCGATATTTTTTGGGCGTTGAGAACCGGCTTGCGAGCGTCTCGCCTGAATCATCCCGAATAGTTCTTCCTTCAGGTCCTCCACGGAGGGATCCACAGAAGGCATAGCAGCCTGTCATCTGCTATCAATATGGTAGATACATGAAGACATCGATGTCTTCACCAAGGTGTCCCAATCTTCTGGCCAGTACAATGCCGTATATTCCTCATATTGTGAGACGGCAGGATGTGAAGGTTCACCAATGAATGCCGACAGAAATGCTGATCTGTCCACCATCCAAAGGGACACGTGGAGATCGCGATACTTCCCCCACATTGTGGAATTGCCTTTCGCTAAA